TAGAAACCTGGACAGCTCTAGGGCTGGGGTGGGCAGTTTGCTTTCGGAGGCCATGGTCCGGGTGAGTGGATGCCAACCATATCTAGCCTTGGGTCCATAGATACCAGACTCAAATTCCAGGAAGGAAAGCTTGTCAGGGTGAGCGGCATGCCCACTCATTGGCCATGGGTGATGTGTTAGCCTGCTCAGGCTGCCATAACAAAATACCACAGAACACCACAGACTGAGGGTTTAGACAACAGACATTTATTTTTTTCACAGTTCTTGATACTGTAAGTCCAACTTCAAGGTGTTGGCAGGGTTGGTATCTGGAGAGAACACTCTCCTTGGCTTGTAGATGGCCATTTTCTTGCTGTGTCCTCACATGGCTTTTAGTCCATCTGGAGAGAGAGGGAGAGAGAGAGGGAGAGAGAAAAGAAGAGGGAAAGGGAGAGGGAGCTCTCTTTTCTTCCTTCTTATAAGGACACTAATTCTATCAGAGCAGGGCCCCACCCTTATGACCCCATTTAACCCTAAGTACCTCCTGAGAGGTACCATCTCAAAATACAGTTACATTGTAGGTTAGGCTTTAACATAGGAATTTGGGTGGGGAAAGCATTTTACTTGATAAGAGGGGAACTGCGTGTTGAATGATAAGCCAATTGGAATGTGGACGGTGGAAGTTTGCCATGCATGCTGACACCTATCAGAGAGAAAGGGGACACTGGCTGACACAGATGTAGGCATAAAAATGACCCCTTGTCAGCCTCTCAGAGGCTCACACAGGGGCAGGATGACTACGAACAATTGCCATGCAAATAGGAGCAGATGAGCCAAGTGTTGGGAGTACAGAGAGGAGAGGTTCACTGTGCTGGCAGGCGAGGTGAGGAGGCTGGAGGGGGCACGTCATACCCGAGTCTGAGGATGAATGATGTCTCCCAGGGAACCATCGAGAGTGAGCCTGGCCAGCCCCTCTGGACTTTTGGGGGATGCTGTCCTCTGGCTGGTGTGGACTTGGGCCCCCAGTGGCTTGATGGAGACCAGACACAGCACCCCCATCATGGGAGGTCTCCAAGTCTTGATTTCCTAAGTCCCAGCTTCTCAGGTACCTAGACAGCCCCTCTTCCTGCTGCTCTCCCCCACTCCAGCCAGAAATATCCCCTTTCATGCCAATCAACACTTATGTGTCCCATCCTGGAGTATGAGGTCACAGGAAGGCACAGACTAAGATTTGGGGCCCCAGGGCCATACCACTTATGAGCGTGGCGACTCTGGGTAGGTGGCCTTGACCTCTCTGAGGGTCCCTTTCTGTCATCTCCACAATGAGGACAGCAGGGTACATCCTTCCCAACTCACTATGGGGGTCACCGTAGACCATGGAATGGGTGGGCTGGGAGTAGCTTCTTGATTCACTAGCTACATGACCTTGAATAAGGTGTTTTTTTTTAAATTTGTTTTTGAATGACAGTTGACATTCAATATTATTTTATATTTGTTTTGGGTGCACAGCATGGGGGTTAGATAATCGTATAATTTACAAGTGACCCCCCTGATAATTCTAGTTCCTACCTGGTACCATACATGCTAATTAACATTATTGACCATATTCCCTATGCTGTACTTTCCATCCCCGTGACTGTTTTGTAACTTCTTACTCCCTTCACCTTTTTCATTTGTGACCACCACAGGATTGGCCCAAGGGGCTTGGCAAGAATGCTGGAGGAGCAGACATTTTGGGGGTTGCGGGGAGATCAAGAGTTCAGATCTGATCATGAGAAATCTTCAAATCCAAGAATCCGAAGGAGTAAATCCCACAGCACAGAGAGAGTGCCAAGCGGGACGCCTGGCACCTGAGAAATACTCAAACATATTAGCCATTGGGCCGATCTGGAATGCCTCTTAGTGGGCAGGGCGCCGCACCACTTGTCCTGCTGGACGCTATTTTTTTTGGTATATCTTTTTTTTTTTTTTACTCTACCTTTAGATTATTGTCGGCCTCCTTGCCTTTATCTGCCGAGTGAAAGGTCTGGGAAATATGAGCTGTGCCTTGACGCGCCGTCCCAGGCAGCCGGGGAAGATCAATGTCCTGTCTAGAGGGAGAGCTCCCAGGGCTCACGCTGCCCACGCATCTGAAACCCGATCGTCACCGTGTCTTTTAGGAAGATGGCCCCCGTGGCAGGTGATTGTTTGTGCTGCCCCGCTTCATACCAAACATGCTGAAGATCAGTCACTTGTTAAGGGCCAGCTGCTGACAGGAGGGTGGAAGGCGGCGGGCAGAGAGCCCTCTGCTCTGTCCAGGATCAGATGGTGCTAAGCAGAGAGCTCCTTCATCCCAGAGCCGAGGCCACAGGCAACCTGGGGGCTGGGGGCATGCGGCTCTCGGGAATGCCAGTGAAGCGCCTGTGCCTCCCTCTTGGCTTCAGGAGCTCCTACTGACCCTTCCACTGAAACGTCACTCCTTTTAGAAGCCCCCCCGACACCTGTCCGCTGAGCCCCCCCCCATTCGGTGCACTTACAGCAGCACCTGCCCCCCTCTCTCTCCAACACTCAGCATTCTTGCCATGATTTGTTAACCATCCATTAATTGTTCACCACCCATCTCCCACATGACCGCGAGCTTCTTGGGGAAGAATATCTGTGTCTCTTCGGAGGCATTAAACCCATTCCAGACCATAACACATGGTTGGGAATTGATCAGTATTGATCAATAGGCTGTTGGCAATCATTTGTACAGAATGCAATGGGAAAAGCTGGGTGTATGAGCAAAGAGAGGTGTAATCATCGTTTTGTGCCATTTTGACCTAAGAGCTTAAAACCAAAACCAAATCCAAAAAAACCTACATGACAAACTTTTGCTAATAATCTAAAATCACTGATTCACACCTGTAGGCTACAGATGTTAGAGTGGGAAAAGGGCATAATTATTTTAAGGGCTCTGTGAATTCATATTGGACCAAGTATTACCTTTATTTAAAATTTTATTATGAAATGTATATTAGGAGTAGGCAAATAGTCTAATGAGCTCCCCATGCCTACCAATTACATGTGACTGTGTAAGATGTTGCCATGGCCCCCAGACTTCATCTCATTTCTTTCCTACATTCTTAAATACTAGAGGCCTGATGCATGAAATTTGTGCAAGAGAAGGCCCTCGCAGCCCCGGCTTTGTCCGGAAGGTCATCCAGAAGGTCGTCAGGAAAGTTGTCCAGACGGTCATTCTGCTGCTCAACTGTTTGGTCGATTTGCATATTATGCTTTTATTACTATAGATATGTCTTTTAAGAATACAGACATTTTCTTACAATAATAGCAACAGCATCCTTAGAGACAAGATACTGTCTTGCCCACATGCTTGTTTTAAGTGCATGCTATTGCAGTGATCAGTTTTCTAAAATTAAGAGTGTTAGAAATTCACAGAAGGCATTTTGCAAGGGTATTTTCTTTCTTTCTTTTTTTAATATATTTTATTGATTTTTTACAGAGAGGAAGGGAGAGAGATAGAGAGTTAGAAACATTGATGAGAGAGAAACATCGATCAGCTGCCTCCTGCACACTCCCCACTGGGGATGTGCCCGCAACCCAGGTACATGCCCTTGACCGGAATCGAACCTGGGACCTTTCAGTCCGCAGGCCGATGCTCTATCCACTGAGCCAAACCGGTTTCGGCAAGGGTATTTTCTTAATTCACAGATATTAAAAGTACAAAGGTGATCCAAGGGGTCTGTGATATTTTTTGACATCATACATGAAAAGGATAGGAAACTGATGTAAAACTTTATTTCAACCACAGCCAGGATTTCTCCCGATGGGAACTGCCAGGGGAACATATGGAGAGGCTGGTGTCTCCTCTCTGCATTGTTTCGTTTGCCATTCCTCTGTGGAACCAGCTGTTCTAGGAGTAGTGCAAGCTGTTGAGTGCTCTGCACATTTTAAAGGGCACACAGATCTTCTACCTTGCTCCGTCCTTTGTAAAACTTTCTTTTTGGTGTCAGGCAACTTGGAGCTTTAGCGAACAACCTAGCTACTCTTCCCATCTCACTCTTTGCCCTGCTCTTTTGTCAGCATTTCCGTGGGAGCTGCCCCCACCCCAGGCTGGAGCATCTGGACCCATTGCAAAGGGACCATCAATCAGTAGCTTTGCCCCCGACATGCCCAACACCTGCACCAGCGGATCGTTTTCCTCACGAAAAAAGACCAAATGGCCATCAAACGTTTGGAGCCGAACCTCGACCCCCAGCGCACAGCTCAGCAACTGCTCACCTCAGGTGGCCATGGCCCCGAGGGGAGGTGCAGGTGGCCCCTGTGGGTGTTTGGGCCAATGCAGCAGCTCTCAATCCTGGCTCCTCACATTTGAGAATCACCTGGGGAGGCTTTAAAAAGGACCCATATCCAGGCCTCATTCTGGAGACATTGGGTTGGCATCTCTGGCATCGGGGCCTGAGCCCTGGCGCTGGCTGGAAGGTCCCCGGTCACTCTGAGGTGCAGCCAGCGTGGAAACCAGCTGGCTGACCCACTGCTCAGGTCAACCAACTTGCCTGTTCAAGTCAGTGAAAAATGAATCAACCAAATCAGTCATTTGGGAAAAATCATTTTCTAACAAAAATAAATAAATAAACGTTTATCCAGAAACACATGGAGATCGACTCACTGGTCTCCAACCCTCAGGGGAGGAGGTTGCAGGGGGATGAGTCACTGTGGGGACTCGCCGGCACTTGTGCATGTGGAGAATTACCTGGGGAGCCTGTCACTGCCTAAAGGACAGGAGGTAAGCTTTGTCCCTGGGCTAGTTTGGTGACTGGATATTTGGTTTGTTTCTCTGAAGTGTTCGGCCAGGACTAATATTTATTCACTCAGTCATTCTGACAGTTGTTGAGCTTCCTCAAACATCAGGAGCTGTGTAATTACAATTAAAGGACATTTTAATTACTAGTCATTGTCTTCAGATGGGAAGACTTACAGGAACATAATAATTATAGGTATAACTTATTGTGTCTCATTTGTGCCAAGCATTCTGCTAAGAACTTGACGTTGGATCACTACAGCAACTCTGGAATCCATATACTGTTGGAGGAAGGGAATGAGGTGCAACATTGAAGGTAGCGGGTGGTGATGAGATGCTTAGACCTATAGAAAGAGTATAGTCATTGGTCCACATGCTCTTGGATGTAACCATGGAAGGGATGGATAAGAGCTTGTCTAGGCCAGGGGGCTTCAAGGATCATCTGCAATGAATTCTACATCTTTATTAGAACCACCAAGAATTAGGACAGAAGTGGGTTTGGAAAGATGTGGGAAATATGGTATAAGAGAAAGGTATCTTATAAATCAGTGGGTAAATGATTGGGTTTTGTACAGTCCTGAGAAATTGGTTATTTAACAGGAAAAATAAATTATTTTTTCAGATCATTTACAGGAATATTTTCCTGATAGTTAAGGATTTATAAATGTATAAAGAAAGTCTTAACTCCTCTAGAAGAAAATGTAGGAAACTGTATTGTATTGGGGCACAGAGAAAAATTTTTAAGCAAGATTGAAAATTCACAAACCATGAAGGATTAGGTTGTTGAATATGATGCTGTCAGACCTTACTACATGCTAAACAGAGTGAGGAGATGCTCCTCGTGCTGGAGGATATCTTTGCAGCACATGTATGTATTAGCACATGTATGTATTAGCACATGTATGTATTAGTACATGTAGAGAATTAGCATTCAGACCATATGTAAAGGGCAGAGGATATGAACTCACATTTCACAAAAGAGGAAGCCCTACTAGCCAAAATGAGATACCATTCTGCACTCATCAGTTTGGAGAAATGAAGCTGTGGGGCAGGGTGGGGAACGTCCAGCCCGAGGGCCGTGTAAGGGCCGTGAAACCACATGGTCTGGCCCTGCCAAGCCCGTAGGGGTGAGTTAATTAAATGTTTGACCAAATGTAGCAGGCTAACATTTCAGTTGATAATTCTGTGTGGCCCTCAAATGATGTTATTAATATCCAAATGGCCCTTGGCAGAAAAAAGGTTCCCCACCCCTGCTGTGGGGTGTTGATATGCTCTGTGAAATTCAGGTTGGCACCACCACTCCGGAGAACAATGCCAGTCTCTACTAATGTCCAGTATGTGTGTCCTTTCCAGCCAGGATGACATTCGAAGGCTCCATCCCAGAGGACCTTCCATTTACACACAGGCATGCCCATTGCTGTTGTGTGAGAGGCAGCAAAGTCTCTGAAGCAATGCAGACATCCTTCAATAGCAGAGCTGATGACTACATTGGGGAACGTTCATTCAATAGCATACCTCGGAGTGGCCAGCTTGAATCATGGAGCTCCATGATCAGCATGGATGAATCTCCAACCACGGTATGGTGTGAAGCCAGCAAAGAAATCTGCAGAGTGAAATGTGCGTTTGCACAAACCCATGCGAACTAACACTTCCTATTGTTTATGAATGAATCCACAGATGTTCAAAATAGAAAAACATGCAACGGAATGATGGATACCAAACTCAGGACAGTGGTCCACTCTACAGAAGGAAAAAGGGACGATGAGACCAGGGAGAGGCAGAGAGAAGATCTCCAAGGCATCTGCAACCTTTTCTTTCATAAAAATAATATCCAAATAAACAATGGAAAATGGTGACGTCAGCTAAAGCTGGGTGTTAAGTATATGGTTATTGGCGACTTTATTCTCTGTGCTCATCTGTATGCTTGAAGTATTTTATATTTTTAAAAGACCAGACAACATTCCTTTCTTATTGAGCTGGACTTCAGATTCTGGATCGCTTAGATTTTAGATCCAAAGGATTTTATATGTCTCTGAACAATGTCAATACTCTGGGCCCTTCATTCCAACTTGCTAAAGCTCATTTAGTTCATCAACATTTATTCAAGCACCTCCTGAATGCCCGGTCTTAACCTGTGGCTTTTAGGGAAGCGTTGGGAAGAACTGTCCACTGTCTTGTGAGTCGTTCCTTTCTCACCCATCTCATGAGAATAGCTTCTGCGCATCAGGAATTCTAGTTTGATGAAAAGGTTTGTCTTCAGCCAAGTATTTATAAAAGGTGCGTAGGTCTGTCGCACAACAATGTGTATATAGTTAACACTATCAGATTGTACACTTAAAATGGGTAAAGTGGTTAAATTTTATGGCTTGTGTTGTGTTTTTTTACCACAATTAAAAAAATAGTGTGTAGGGCAGGGTTACACGCAGAGCCTGATGGCAAGCTACCAGAGACTTCTCTCCAGATTAACTCTGCCATCCTAACTGAGTCTGCAGACACGTGTCCCTGTGTGTGTAAGTCTCTACACACTACATTTCACATATGGAAATGTAGCTTGTGTTTTAGATGGTCAGTTCAGGGAGAAATATCTAGAAAGCATCTTTTTAAAAATATATTTTATGGATTTTTTTACAGAGAGGAAGGGAGAGGGATAGAGAGTTAGAAGCATCGATGAGAGAGAAACATCAATCAGCTGCCTCCTGCACACCCCCTACTGGGGATGTGCCCACAACCAAGGTACATGCCTTTGGCCGGAATCAAACCTGGGACCCTTCAGTCCACAGGCTGACGCTCTATCCACTGAGCCAAACCAGGGAGGCTCTAGAAGCATCTTGAAGCATTTTTTAATTATTTGCTAAATTAGTTGGCAGAAAAAAATTGTTGGACACAGATTTTTCTGTGTCTATTATGAAGCCTAAGTGTCACTCTTAGGAAAACAGAGACACACTCCGCCCCCGCCGCCCCTCCCACCCCCCGGGCCTTCTTTGGGGGAGAAAGTTTCCCATCTTTCCTCTCACCTGGGCCAGAGGTTTGCACCAGGTGTTCTGAGACCCATCCTAGGTTTCCATTTCTCTTCCACTGGGCAACACAGGCTCCCACGGCAACAGTCCTTCCTTTCGTTGCCTCCTCTCTCCTCCTTCTTCTGTATTTTTATTTTCTTTGACCACTCATCTTTTCCTGTTTGTCTTGGTTTTAATCTTTGCGAGGCCGCTCCATCAATATTTAGTTTCTAAATATTTGGTTTCTAAATTGCTGTTCTTGTCCTGTTCAGTCAGAATCACTTGTAATTTTGTTCATTCACCACAGAGGTCCTCGGCCCTGGCTGCAAACAGAATCACCTGGGAAGCTTCTGAAAGGTACCCCGGCCCCACCACTGGCCGGGGGAGTCAGAATGTCAGGTGCAGTTCTAGGTGTGGCTATTTGTCAAAAGCTTCCCAGAGGAGATTCCTGTGCAGCGAGGGTTGAGAAATATTGATTGCAAAGATACTAACTAAGTCCTTTTATGCACCCAGGGGGTGGGTGGGTTCTACAGGGGCGATCAGGAGGCCTTCCTGGAAGAGGTGGCATTTACGTGCGTAGGATGCTCCTTATCACAGTGGCTGTGTCTACTATTCCCCACCTGGAACCTGGGCAGACGCATACCTGCTTTGACCAACAGAATGGTGGAAATGGAACTGCTCCCCTTCCTGACCCTTACCTGAGCTATGCCTCCTCTCCTGTAGTTTCTGTCTCTCGGGGCATAAGCCCACTTCATCTAAGTCATCAAATGGTGGAAATGGACTTGCTTGTAGAATGCCTTGCCTGTCTTTTTCATGCCTAAAAAGGATCAGTAATAACACCCCTCTTTCCTGGCTCAGATGGGCCATGTGTGTCTTCACTCTTCTTTCCTTGGTGAGTTTGGCTGGAGGTTAATCAGTTGTGCTGATCTTTGTAAAGAACCAGCTTTAGGCTTTCTTGATTTTCTCTATTGTTTTCTTCTTTTTACCTCTTTGGATTTCTGCTCAGTTTTTTTTTTTAACTTATTTTTTTTCTGTTTGCTTTAGGCCTAAATGCCTCCTCCTTCTCTAGTCTCCTCAGGTGGGAGCTCTGTTATTGGCGTTAGAGCTTCCTTTCTAAATTTGCATTTAATGCTACATTTTTCACCACATTCCCCAATTTTTGATAAGTCGTATTTTTGTTTTCATTGATGTCAGTACATTTTTAAAACGGTTTTTGAGATTTCTTCTGGGACCCACAGGTGATTTAGAAAAGGGCTGTGTCTTCCTCCCTCGGATGCTCCTTCTGAGAACCCAGTGGACATGAAGGGGAGACGGGAGCTACATGGAGATGCCACGTGTGGACACGGGAGCTACATGGAGATGCCACGTGTGGACACGGCGCTGGCAGCCCAGCGTGTCCCCAGCAGACCACCCACACTCAGCCATGTATCTGAGTCCCTGGATGGCCGGCACAGGGGAGGCAGCTCCAGCTGCCCTTAGATGGCAGTTGGGGGCCACCCAGCTGCGCCACCAACAATAAGGAGCTGCTGTAGGCCACTGAGGTGGGCCACTAAGGGACACAGTGACAGTGACGGTCCTTAGAACAGCAAGCGGAGACCACAGGACGGTGAGAGTCAGCAGCTGAAGGGAAGGTTAGGGCTGCTAGCGGGGAGGAGGACAAGTCCCAGGTTAGGAAAGGGCGGCTCTTCTATGGAGCACAGGGTCTGGGCGAATGCTCTGCAGGCAAAACACCCACTCACTCCACTTACCAAACGCCTCCGTCCCATGTTTCAGGGTCAGACCTTGTGCCAAATGCTCAGGGAACTGGTGGAAACGTGCCTTGCTGGCATGGCTCCACTTCGAGTCTCTGAATCCTTGTCCCCGGGAGAACCCACGGACTCACCACCGTGTCCGCAGGAGTTGGTGATCGGAGCATCTTCCCTCTCTCAGGTTTGGACTGAGTGAGGCTGGCCCAGCTTTGCTCCAGAAGGTGCAGGGATGGGCTTTTAAAGGCCGTGCTCTCACCCCCGAGGCTCTCGGTTATGATCTGGTGGAATGCCGGGGATGACAATCTCTCTTCGAAGTAGCAGCCCCTGTGAGCTGCTTCTGAGCCAGACGTGGGGACCTGAATGCCATTAAGACCTTCACTAGCACCATCTATAGGCCTCGGCCATATACTCGCTGCTGCTGGTTGTTCTAAGGCAGCGGTTCTCAACCTGTGGGTCGCGACCCCTTTGGCGGTCGAACGACCCTTTCACAGGGGTCACCTAAGACCATCCTGCATATCAGATATTTACATTACGATTCATAACAGTAGCAACATTACAGTT